TAAGAAGCAGCCTGTTTCTAGTCGTTGTATTCTATTCGTATTAATCAGTACTGTCTTCAGCCACTGTACTGTATACATGTGGATCATATCTGTCCCAGCCAGTTTAAACATGTTAAGAAGCAGCCTGTTTCTAGTCGTTGTATTCTATACGTGTTAATCAGTACTGTCTTCAGCCACTGTATTGTATACATGTGGATCATATCTGTCCTAGCCAGTTTAAACATGTTAAGAAGCAGCCTGTTTCTAGTCGTTGTATTCTATACGTGTTAATCAGTACTGTCTTCAGCCACTGTATTGTATACATGTGGATCATATCTGTCCTAGCCAGTTTAAACATGTTAAGAAGCAGCCTGGCTTCTAGTCGTTGTACTCTATACGTGTTAATCAGTACCGTCTCCAGTCACTGAACTATCTATATGAAATATTTGTTTCTGTATTCCAGGCCTATTAAATTTATCACTTAATTCAATACATCAACTGTTTCTCACCAGAATGCCTGATCTGTAGTACATACTAAACAGTAGTCTGTCACTAAAGTCCTTGCACTGTGAACATGATAATCAAGTTTGCCACTGGGACTACTGCTCACTTGATGCATATTATTCAAAAGGCTTTTGCAAAAACTTTTTAATGTCCTTTACTTTAAACTTCTTTCCAGTTAGTAGTATCACAAGGAAGTTTCAGGCATAACATGCAACAAACGTAGGTAACATAAAATAAATATTCTACTAAATTTATTAAGAAATTTCTGCAAGTTCAAAACTTGATCCCTGTTTATTCTAGACTTGCACTGAAACAATGATAAAATACACACTGTTTGGTTGTATTAAAATCCAACCTATTTAATACTTCGCTTAACAATACTGTAATTTGCCATGTGAACTGGAATGTTAGTGTTCATAGTAAGACTAGAGTGGGTTTAAGAAGAAATCCATAAACTGGTTATGTTAACAGCAACAACAAAAACATAGTGTAACCAAGAGCAGGCAGTAAACAGGTTTTACTAAAAGTATAACTCAATCTCTAACTAAACTCTTTCATTTTCACAATACTTTTTGTTTTAGTATCTGCATCATAAAAAGTCGGTGATACATTAAAAAAAATAAAGCTACTAGTATATTAAATACTACACGCAAAAGGTGTTTTACAAGTTGTTTTTTTATCTTTTCCAAATAAACTAATAACAGAAAGAATAAACACAAATTATTTATTTATTCAGTTTAACCAAGATAGCTGGCAGTAGAGGTAGGCTTTGACATATTTTGTATTTGAAAACATTAACTATCCAAAAAAGGTAATTCTATAACCATACTAACACATGGTAGGTTCAAAAATGAAACTGCACCTACCACCTGACTGAACATTTACTTGACTACCGAGAAAATGCTGGTGAAGCTTTAAAAGAGTCTAATTACAAATAACCATTCATTTTCAGGATTGTAAATGAAGAATATATTGTATCTTGTAAAAGAGTAATAAATTTGAAGAAAATTGGTAGGTTAATTCAATTGTTTGCTTTCAGAGAAACAGATGAATTATAAACTATAGAAGGGTCAGCATCCTTCGATGATACTAGAAAATCTATGTCTGTTTATCTTCACACATTCAGAAGGAATATATCCTGCTCAAGAGCCTCAATGATTCCACAAAAGACAGTGCAACTGTTCATCATGTGCACATATTCACTGAGTTATATCCTGCATAACAGTCAACATCTCTCTTTTAAATGTAGCACACATTAATCAAGTGGATTATATTTTAATGAATTCAAATAGCTTGTAATCTTTGGCTTTATGAAACTATTTTTTCTTAATTAAATGTAATTATTACCAAGATTACCAACCAAGCCAGTCTTTTTGGTAAAAAAAGAATCATCACAGTCTAAAATACAAATAAATTTATCTTACATTCATGCACAATGTTTGGTAATTTAAGACAGCATGGTAACCATCCACTTATAGAGAGAGAGAGTATCAACACAAAGATGATAACTCATGATAAGATAAGCAATATGTTAGAGCACCAAACTGCTCTTCTGCTTCTTTTAAGAAAGTACTTAGTGCTTCAAATGCATCAGTCTCTCACTGTACTTGAAAATATTGAATTTTATGCCCTGACTTGTTCTTTCAGGATAATTAAAATGGTACATAAAATGCCCATGTAGTTTAGAATATGCACAACATTTCATTAACACCAGTCTTTGAGAAGAACCTACATAAAGATAAATAACACTATAAGAAAATAATGTGTTCCCATTGCAGTTGAGAAATACAGAACACTTTAAGAGCACTAACCTATCTTTGAATTGTAATTAAGATATTTAATACTTTATAACAACAATCATTTTATGATACAAACTTCATCCTTCACTGAAATTATGCAAATGTAAAAAAAATTTAAGGCATCAACCTGCTCTTCCACAACAGTTCAAAACGTAAATAACACTTAACAGCACCAAATTGTTCTTATATGGCAACCAAAAATGTAAGTAACACTTAGCAGCACCAACTTGTTCTTATATGGTAACCCAGAATGTAAGTAACACTTAGCAGCACCAACTTGTTCTTATATGGTAACCCAGAATGTAAGTAACACTTAGCAGCAC